TCATTGATTGTGGTCAGACAAATCCATTCCCCCACATTGTTTGAATAGAGAAAAACTGGTTGAAAAAGAGAAGTCTTTATTAACGGACACCTCTGAGAAGTTATCAAATCTATCAGCAACATAAAAAATAGCAGTAGTACGTTTTTGTGCATTTATAAAATAAAACTGCAACTCCTGCAAGCATTAGTGGCTCTGTATTTCACAATGTTGATATTAATACATAGGAGGTGGTGCAATACCTTTGAAAATCTGAAAGAGTGTGCATGGAATTGTTATGCAACAGAACGAGTGCACTCCTACCTCAACACCTTAAAACGGAGATAGCTCACCTCCACGGTATGGCTCACTAGACTGTGGTTCAACTTAACCCGTATGCGATTCTTTGGGGATGGAAGGCAGAATGTATAAATGCAGGTAAGCTACTGAATAGATGAAATGTAAGAACAAACTGAAAGCAGACGTAGTAGAGCGTAAGATTCGAATCAAAAAGAGGTCATTTGGCCTATCTAGCTTTCTGCGTTTTAGGTGATAACTAACCTCAAGAGCCCATCCTGCAGTTTCCTGAAGGAAACCAGAGGACCAGCTTCAACTATGACAGAGTGGACTGATCCAGGCTCCGAAAACCACCTGTGTATCAAAGTGCCTCCTGTTCTAAGATTTTAAATCATACTGCACTGTTTAGGTCACTGAATGACAAAAAATAAAACTCCAGCCCTACATGGAACTGAGAAAGAAAGGATTTAAACTGACCCCACAGGCAAAGAAATTCATGAAGTGTGAGTGGGAATTAAGGGAACAGGAAGTAAAAAGAGAAATGTTTGATGAGATTTATTGGAAGTTCATGAAGTCCAGGAGCAATTGTAATGGTATAACAGGAAGCAGGTTCTCATTTACAGAGAAAAGCAGGTTTAAAAGTTGAACAATCTTATCACTCATTGGTAAAATGTATTTATCATAGTGGTATTCACCCATCTTCAACATATTTATTTCTTTTGGACACTAATTGTACTAAACACCAATAGCTTAGAGACTGCATGAGGACAAGTCATGCTTTCTTTCATCCTGTTCAGTCCGGAGCTATCAGCTACTCGGAAAGGTAGTGTTAAATGCAGGAGTTCGGCATCACTCCCACTCTCAGAGGGTCCTCAACAGTTCCTGGGACAGCTATTGCACACCTAGCCAAGAGTACCCTGGACTGGCTTACAAAAGTCCATCCAGCCCATGTGGAGGTAGGCCAGCTGTACAACACTGACTGTGGAATTCCAACTACAATAAGCTAAAACCCTAGCCAGGGCTCAAATTGGTCATGCCTAGACTACAGAACCCAGCCTGTGCTCAGACATATTTAAGCTATTGGGGAGCCATGGAAGAATGAACCATCCAAACAATTTCCAATTGGTAGAAAACGCTACAACAATGTTTCTCAAAATATATGTTAAAAAGATACCTCAAAAGAGATTCCGGTGCTTAAGGATAATCTTTCAGAAATATAAAAAAAGTCACAATAATGGCTCCTGATACTGCAAAACTTAACCAGGTGACAACATAAATAAGCAAAGAGGTATTGTCCATGAGAAAGAGTACTGGGGGGGGGAGTTTGGCAAATCATCAACACGAAGGCTAAAATGGTCAACCTTCAGCAAATCATCCAAGGAGGTGTGGTTATACTGCCATTCCTGGGTTTTTTCCTCAGTGACACTCACAGACTAGACTTTGATGCTATGTGATCAAATAGGCTGGCTTGTGAGATGCATTTAAATAGTGCAAGGGACAGTAATAACAGTACATAAGTAATAAGAGATGGTAGTGGCATCAAGGAGAGACAGCTGCTGGACATGAGTTGAACCATTTCCTGATGGAGCTTTTTAAAAAAATCTCAAATCCATTTAATCAACTTGAACAAAAACAATTATTCCCATTGGGATTAATTTAAAAGGAATCGAAGAGGGTCATCAACAGTTATATCAGATGAAAACAATCATGTTGGCCCGCAATTTACAACCAAGATCACATCTTTTCAAAACCTGTCATAGTAGGGCAGGCTTGGTAACCTGGTAGTTACTGAAAACACAGTTTAAAACTATGGGACAAGCCAGAAAACTACATTTTTGAGCTTCACTCTTTGAGCTTCCACAATATGGAAACACAGTATTAAAACAAACTTTCTTATGTAACATTTTACAGTATGTGCTGTAAAACAAACTGCAGTTCTTTAAAGACTTACTATTTTTTGTGCATTTCATTGGATCATGGCCTTGTTGCATGAAACTAAAACCGTCCTATGCCTAGATATTAAAATGTGTAAATTATTTATAAAAGTGTCTTTTGAAGCCAGTCTATCAAAACCAAGCAGGTCTTCATTACTTAAACTCTTTTCTGAAAATCACTTTTCTTGCCCTAGACAAAGATGGTTTAACTTATTACAGGCAATCATAGTATGAAGAACAGTAATTTTCATGTTAAGGGCAATGACAAAGTCTATGTACAGTCTAACATGTAAAATGCAAACATATGTACAGCACAAGAGGAAACCACTGTAGTTAACTATTTCATCATACATCTTCTTAAGTGATCATAGAAGTCAAACCGTCAGGCAGCAGCTATATGACAACCAATAAGACAAAACTAGACATTTCTGAACAAAGTACACATTTTCTGTTGGGACTTAAACCCAATGGGCAAGGAAAAATACAGGTTGACAGGGAGAATCTGTTAAAGATATAGGCCTTCAATACCAAAGATGTGTAATATAAACAGACAATTCTCAAAGGGTCTGGCTATGCCCAGCATTTACACAGCGCTTCAGATTTCAAAGGACCTCAAAGTGCTTCAGACATGGGGGTGACCCACATCATCCACTGAACTGAGCACTCACCTGCTGGCCTTCTGGCAGCCATTATGCCCTCACAGCATAGAGCAGAAGTGAGAAATTACATCAACTGAACCACAGGGGACATTTAGGGAGGTCATATTGTTCAGGACCAAGTGGAATACAGCCACTGCACTAGGATTAGAACCCTGCTCTTGGGAACAGTGCAGTGGGACCTTTCCTTAAATTAAACTGTTTAAGGATAATCCCTTCTCTCCAACCATTTTAATCAGCAGATCTATGGTCTTGAATACATCAATTATGATTTTATATCAGAGTGTGGCTTTCAACAGAGAGCAATAGGACACTTCTGTTAACTGGGGGTGTTTAAAATGCCTTAAATATTAATTCTGTGCTAGCACATCATCCTTCCCAATGCAACCGAACGTAATACTTAAGATATATACTTGTGTCAAGCATATACTAATACCTGACACAATAACAACATTATAGAAATATGGGAAAGTACTGAAGGCTTTTTTATTAAAATAATTAACAAGGGAACTCCATTCAATTCGAACACTGACAAAACAGCATCATACACTTAATAAACCCTTCCTGAATCGTCCCCAATTCACATTCCATTTCACTTTGACCAAATTAAAAGCTTACTGGATGACTCCAGGCAAATTAAAATAATGTGGGTATGTTCTCAAAGTCATTCTTCACTCATTCACACTTTTAGAAACTAGATTTATAGTCTTATTACAAAATTCAACACCAAAACAGGAATTGGGGATTTATAACTTGGTCTTTGTCGAATTATTATATTTTACATTTTTGTGGAGATGCAGTTACAACTGTCCTCAATGGACAACCGTTTGATAATCGACCACTTAGCACATAAAACCAACCACTTCACTAGAAAACATACATCCATTTTAGGATTTTAAGTAAAAACAGCAGTAATAACTACGTTTTTTCTCAATAAATTGTGCCGAGTCCTATAATCACTTTTTACGGTCCCCAACTGGCTCTCTTACACTCAAGTATCACATGGTGGATTCATACGTGCTAAATGTAATTACAATCAAGGCCTCAAACATATAAACCGTTGCAATATACATATTTTTTTTAAGTTTACTTTCGCTTTCGAGAAAGGTGAGGTACAATTTCACACACCAAGAAAACCAAGAGACCCCTCGGATGAAAACTGCGCCAGGGTTGCCGACGCCAGTTCAAGCACATAATCTGGGCACATCATGTAGACAGTGTCCATTGTGCACTGCGCTGCTGCAAACGCCTCCGGAACATGCCCACCAGTGTGTGACCAACGAGGTTAAACATTAGGCACAGGCCCCAGATGCAATTCGCAAATCTCTGGATTCTTGTCGTTGAGCTTTTTAGCGACGCTGAAGAAGACTCTTTGCAAAGGAAAAGTGAGGGGGGAGGAGGACGAAACCTCCTGTGAATAATTTCAAATGTGAGAAATGACCGCGTTTTTCCTGTACAAAAGAATGAACCCCCGACTAGTGTGCCATAAATGCACATCGGCGCAAGAGCCTAATGAAAAGGCCGAACATGATTACAGAGTAGATAAAATTACACCTCTGGGGACTATCCCGCTCTGTAAAACTAAAATTTGATTATCTAAGAAGCGCTGGGCTTTGAGACTCAAAACCCTTGATAGAAACAGGAAATTCCTGTGATTCGAAATGGTTTAAAAACACAAAGCCCTCTCGGTGTGCTCTACCCAATCTATGTACTTTTCTCACTAAATATGCCATTCTGAAAAGGTGTAAGTAATGCCTTCAAAGACAGCTTTATTCTACATGGTTACGTGAAACAGTTCAGAGCGAACGCACATGCAATTACATATTAATTTCAGAAAGACCGCTGGTGATTCTAAATCAGTACTTCATGCTGGATGGCTTGGGAGACGAGCGTGAAATTAAATTGTTTATTTCTCCAATCCCCAGAAAGAAAGAAAAACACACTTCCTGAGCCGTCGTTCTGTTTTAGTCGGCAGCCGTATTGGGTGGGGAGAAAAGGTTTAGGAATCTGCTGTAATTCGGAGTTAAGGATAAAAATCCACTGTTGGAGTCTCCCAGACAAAGGGCTTTCGGCAAGCATGCAGTTGTGAATACCTCCCGCATTAAGAAAAAAAGACCCGAAAAATTCCAGCACTTACCCACTTGAGCACCCCGATCCCACGAATATTTAAGTACACTCCATAGATCCAGAAAGTTGGGGGTCGGGGAGGGGGGGGGGTGGGAAAAATGCGAGGAACACCGATTTATTCAAAATAAACAGACAAAATAAATCAATAGAACTCCCAAGAAATCCAACAGCAGGGGAAGGAAAGGCCAGTTCACTGGACTGCTGCCATCACACGTTGAATCCCGTTCAAAACTGAAAAATACCGGCTAAAACGGGCATTTTTAGGGTCGATCGCGAGCCCGATTCGAGTTATATAACGTCTCCTCCGGTCCCGGGAAGTAAAATCCAGTTTTCTGCCGGTTTTCGCACCAGTTTAAAATCCCCCGATTCTGTTTCTCTGTATCTCTAATATATCTTGATGGCTGTTTGTATCTTTCAATGCTGGGAGATTGATACAATGTAACCAACAAGCAGAACGAGGCGCACGCAAGCTCAGGCACGGACTCCGCACGGACTGGACCGCGACCACGAGGACCGTCGCTAAGAACCGGAACTGGACTTTCTCCAGTTGTGGACTGGCGAGTTTTACTCAGCTCGCCAGTCACTTGCATTTGATAAAACCCATGTGTTCTCATTAATGAAGCCGGTGTGTTCATGGATGGTTTTTAAATCGTAACAGAAGCAGTACTAAATGCGAGTTTTCCATTTCCTAAGCGTTCAACATTTTTACAACTGTTGGTAAATGTATTATACCGAATCAAGTAGTACAGTATTACGAATATTACGTGTTACACAAGGCAAATGTGAGGAGCTATAAATACAAAAGCATAGCACACGTAACCCCGGGACTAATTTATGTACATAAAAAAACGTGCACTTTTTGTTGAACCTGATACTACTTGACATTATAAGATATAGCAGTTCAGGTGGGGAGCTGCGTCAGCATGCGTAGTCTGCAAAGGAACAAGTAACAGGTTTATTCCCTGCTGAAAAAAAGAAGAAAGAAAACACAACGTTTCGGCCGTGGAGCCTTCTTCCACACCTGAAGAAGGCTGCACGGCCGAAACATTGTCTTTTTTTTCAGCAGGGAATAAACCTGTTACTTGTTCCTTTGCATTATAAGATGTAGCCAGAAACAAGTAAACTCACAAAAATACATTGAAAACTGCTGAGTTTTACGAATAATGAAAGTATAAAAAGACAAAAATCTAAGCCTCAACATTAATACACTTATTGGTATTTTTGAAATACGGAACTACGTCTCAAGGTAAACTGTTAAAGTTGCATTTTGTATTTTTTATTTTAACAACACAAAACCCAAGCGTCCACTGCTTGTTTTCATTGAATGTTATGTACCCATTATATTAAAAACATTTATTATTGTTGAATAAAGTAAATTTAAATGCTCAATACTACCATTTTACACATTGCATACAACCCGTTTATATATAACTGGGGTATATAACAGTATATATTATATTAATGTTTTAATGGGTTTAGAGCTAATCAGGTAAATTAATTTGCACAGTTTTCTTCAGTCAAAAGGCAAGGATTGGGTTATAAAACTACATCGAGTGGCGTGTGTAAAAATGGATTTTATAAAGAAGGCGTATCTCACCAGCCTAGAAAGACGTACAGGCCCACTAGAACCGGTATGAACCAAATTTAAAAGTACAGAATAATTGTTATGTAGTAGCCCTTGCTGTACTAAAAACGACACGTATTTCACGACACTTACCAACGGTTCAGCTTGTGACTTGGACAGCCGAACGGACCTGACTGTTTCAAACGCGGAACCGAGGAAGCGTCGATCAAACGGTTCAAACGGTGGAGATCTAGAATCTCCAATTCATCTCGAAAACTGTTTTCGGACGCACCTTTCATTTCTCACTGCTTCCCAGGCTCACACTGCGATGAGAGATATATATATACATTCCTCTACAGTTAACAATTCGCTATATATCCCCGCAAGTTTCAAACAGTGTATAAAATATAGCGTGATTCGTTTGTGGTTTGTGAAACCTAGAGCAAAAATAAACCTATCTGGGAACTCAAGGCAACACGAAGCCAGATTCTGTTTCATTTTCTTTGCACTGTACTCGCGTTTCCCTTCCAGTTTGGCGTGAGCAGTGTAGTTCATTTTGACTCGGTTGTACATGTACGATTGCTGCTTGTATTGACACGCAAGGGGCCTTCTTTTCCCATTTATAAATCGTACATTATAAGGGCGACTGTTTAACCAAGCACATTTAATTACTCCGGAGAAGTAACAGGAGAATGCTAACAAAACAATATACAGTCCGCTAGTGAAAGTAAGAGGAAAGGAGTCTCTGTGGCAGTTTCTTACAACTCAGATTTTAATAACCAGATATGAAGCACAGTTCCTGTCAAAATATCTCTCAGGGCACTTCTTTTTAATGCTATCTGCGTCTGAAGTCATCACCATCAGCGTCTACGGGTCTAATTTAGATAAAAAAGCATTCAGTGGGAGTTTAAGCTAAAAGTACATGCCACTCTTATTATAATGTTGCCCTTGGGATTCTCACATTTGATGTCTATATCCTTTTCAGGAGCACACAGACTGAGGCCCTCATTAACTGTCAGACCCAGATGTGGAAGTTTGTCACTGCATCCCAAGGCCCTGGGATTTATTAATGAATCGAAAGGCATTTGATTTCCCCTGTACCTGCAGCACCTTAGCCATCACAAACGCAAACCAGATTATTCTAGCTCGTATACTTGTGTCTAAAATGTATTTACACTATAATGGCCGTGTTAACAGCTTTGTGTGTCAGGCTACTGTTCCTTTGGCTGAAGTGTCCAAAACAGAACTGTAATGTAATTCGTACTGGATTTTAATTTTTTGTGGTTCATCATCCTTGGCTGGCTTCAAACATTCAAGTGTCAAATTCTTCAGAAAGCAAACCACCGATGAGACGATTCAGCTGCTGCCAGACTAAGATTTTCTCCGTCCCTGAACGCATTCAAAACAGGAAAGATGGGCTCTAGGCCTAGGATTAGACTGCAACATCAGTCCAACGGAATAATCGTGAAACATTTGCTGTTTTAACAGACATATTTCTGTGCTTGCTCTGAAACAACACGCCGCACATCTGCCTACCACATCCTCAGTGCTCCAACTTGAGGGATTCTTCCCTTGTGGACACAGGGTCTCAAAGTCTTACACACACTACTGCATTATTAATCTCACCGATTTTCCAATCGAATTCTAGAGACGTCAGATGTATTATGTTGTTGCTAAAGAACTGCAATGGCTGCTGCCTTTTTGTGGTTCCAAAAATTGCCTCAAATCCATATCAGATGAGTCTGCTTAACCACTATACTATATAAAATATATGACAGTCCCAATAGAAGATAAGACAAGGGAATTAAAAATCAGATCCTCCACATCTTAGTGGCTACTGACGGTTCAGGGAAGCAGGCTTGTGAATCTTTTCCATGAACTTACCATGTGAACTGTAGAGGACATTTGCACTCTCCGGTTTTAAAGAGGTCTGGATAAATCAAAACATACAGCAGCAGATGACAGCAATTTGGTATTTTTAACAAAGATTTCAGTATTTTGCCCTCCTCTCCATTCCAGAACCTTCAGCTGTCTTAAAACATGGGCCTGAGCCCACTCTGCATGCAGTCTGCTGTCATCCAAGTCAGACGCGAGGCGAACACGAGGGGAAAATCGCCGTTCTCTCATTCTGAAGAGCAGTTAAAGCTTCTTCTTGTGTGAAGCTCATCTTTATGTCAGAGCATCAAGAGGTTTATGTAAGCCTTAAATAAAGGCCTGACCTCAGCTGACTGGCTTCCTAAACAATAATGTGGAACAAAATATCTCAGTGGTTAGTGTAATAAATGGATTCAAGCAGAAATAAAGAGAGTGCATGGTATTTATGAGTCTCCATGAAGGAATCTCCAGACAGCAGTTCGGATGAAATACTACTGTATGTAAATGTGCCATGCCTGTTTTTCTTCTATTTTTAAATCACAGTGCCATTACACAATGTTTTTCTTGAGGGCTCCACTACGGACAATGAGAAGGCTATTAACACAGTCAATAATAGTTGACACTATTATATGGCAGAAACTCTGTCTTGGATGTTATACTTGTTGTCAGTCCAGAGGGGTGTCCTTGGTTGTGTTTTCAAGAAAGATGGTGCTCTGGGAATTTCCTGGTTTGAGTTAGACACGCTGACAAGTCCAATTCCCAGATCTGAGTCCCTCCACTCAGTTCCAGGCTACAAATTTCTTCTATCATTTCACTGCAAGTCTGGATGGATGGACTGCATAGCAAAATATGTGTCATAAATACTGGAGTTGAAGTGTTACATTAACAGGGAGAGTCAATTGCCAGCCTATTCTGAGTGTAAAATACTTGCATGGACTATTTTTAAGCCCAATTCCACATTCACTAGTAAACCTGGGAAGAAAGTCAGAGATCTGCCTCAGGGGGAATCTCTCCTCCCCAGTGCATTAGCAAAACAACACATTGAATGTCTTGTCGCATATGCAACAGTTTGGATTCCCTATCGAAATGGCATGACTGGAACTGTGTATCCTCTCCCTTCCCTAATTGCCTGTCAAATGGCCTCTGTGAAGAAGCATTCTCTTATGCACTAATTGATTAATGTAATCTAGGCCCCAGGTCTCCTGTCTGTCCTCACTGGCTGCACTGGAATGTGCAGGTTGGATTTCCTGCTGTCACTTAGTTTGGGTTCAGGGCTGGTGGTTTTGATTACATATAACAAGACAATTAGGCTGAGCCCATTAGGTGGGAAAAGGTAATTGGTGAGAAAGAGGTGGGAGGACGACCTCTGAACCTCAGTCTTCTTTGCTGAAGTGCAATTTGAAGTGGTAACAAATTGGGACACTTAAAACGCAGGAGAAATATCTGCTAACAAAGTGCCCGAGCCCTCTCGATTTATACACTTAATTCTACTACAGTGCAAGACCTACAGCTTCCTCAGTGAGTCTGGCCGCCTCGCCAATTATTAAAGAAAGGAAAGAACGAAGAAAAAGGGCAAACATGACCTATAGAGAGCCGTGTATGTCATGATGTTCGTCGTGCGACAGCAGCGATAACCCTTCTTGTTTACTTGTATTAAATACGGTGCTTTAAGGGATTTTCTAGGTCGGTTGCCCAGCAACAGGGATAAGATAATGTTGCCAGTTGATATGACAGGAAGAATCATCTCACTAACATACAAAGACAGCAGGTACAGCGATGCCTAGGAAGGCTGAATTAATGGGATCATCTTCACACAGAAAAAGAGGCACCCAGGCAAAACATTTTATCTTCACGGTGTCTCCCATGTATGTGTGCTGGGCAGCACATGCGTTCAAAAGGAAGAGGGCGGCACCAGCGGTTTCTAAAAAGGCAGGGAAAGGGGGAGGGGGCATTCAGCAAGGGAACAAAGATCAGTGTCCGTTTGCTCTTGAAGTCAGATGCTTCAAACTGTGCTGTCTGTCAAGCACATGGAGCGTAACCTAAATTAACAAGCTGTGTCAGTAACATACATTTCCCTTACTTACAATTGTAAATCACTCATTATGGATGTCAATGCTATGAGGTTGATTCATGGGAGTAATATCTCTGAAGCGCAAAACGTGCACACAAGTGACACATTTTGCCTTTGGGTGGAACCGAACCGCATACAGTATATAAATAATGTATTTATTAAAGGAATAGTTTATATCACTTGCATATTGGTGTTATTTAATTGTTCACTGATTGTAAGAGTTATTGGAACCAAATATAGGAGTATCCAGGCTCCTGTAATAACTATGCAAAACATTGACTATAAAGAAAAATAAGAATAATGAAAAGGCCTAAATAATTGAAAATAACTATGATGTATTAAATATACTTTTTTATTAAAATGCATTGCAAAACAGGGAATGTAGATGGTATAAAATGTGCATTTGAAGATAAAACTCATGTTCTGATTTGGCTTCTGTTTTATATATATATCAATTTATACCTGCCAGCACATTTAGAAGTAATATATATATATACTGTATATACAGACCTGTTTTCAGGCATGTATCTTTCTTTAGTGTTCACACAATGCAGTGATTAAGCACTGGACCTAACAAAGCATCCATGGAAACATATTTGATTTTGAAGAAGCTCCTTTGCTTGAGTATCAATGGCAGCAAAAAAACTGTTCCACAGAGCCAGTCAATAGTTCTGCAACAAAAAGTCGCATGAAGCTGTCTTTGGGGGCTTGTTCAGTGAGTTGCGATCAGACATACAGTAATTACAGGTGGTGCTGTCAGCTGTCCAGGTACATCAGCACAGGTGGCTAATGGCTTCTGAAACCACACAGCATGCATCACAGGCAGAGACCCTCATTTGTTACGGCACTGTAAAATTAATTACCCACTCTTTGTCTCCCCCAGTCCAAACTTCGACTATAATGAGAAAAAATAACCACCTAAATTGCACGTTCATTCTCATTTTGAAAAATGCCTGTTTTTTTTAAAGAAGTCTTGTCATCTGAGGTGTACTGAATATAATCTGACTGCAGAGATCAGATGATAGCATACCCACTACATTACTGGTGAATCTGGTAGTCATTCGATTTGGGACATCAGCTGAAATAAGATCAAAACTTTAGATCAAAAGAAAAACAAAGAAGACCTTAAATCATTTGGGAAAAAGGCAGAGGAAAAGGACGTATGAACAGATTTACCTCAACAGGGCAAAACCTCACCTGTTCATTTAGATTTGTTATTTTCCAGAATCAGATTGATTCTTAAACTACAGAGGAATTGTAGCACATTAGCAAATGGGTCATAATTTTACAAACCTGCATCCTTTATCACAGATTATCACAAACTAGTGATAGCAAAACCACTTATGGCTTCTTATGGATTAAAGTATTGGTTTGGAGAATTGAGAGATGCAATGAGCACAGAATAGGTAATAAAGTGGTAACAGAAGAATTTCTGGTTACTACAAGTTGTATCCTATGACTCCCAGTTATTTTTGCAATGATCACCACCACGCTATTCCAACTATTCTTGCACAAAGTGGTTCTGGTTCTAGCTTGGTTCTAGCCTGCTGGCAAGAGCATTGGGCTTCAGAGTGTTGTGCAGCACCGATTTGCTTTGCCCATACTGCTTGTGCACCACCAGTCCTAACCTTTGAGAGGCCGTTTCTGGTGGATTAGTCACATTGTCTGCAAGTTACAGCACGGACCATAGATGGACCAGGGCACAGCTGAATGATGAGTGAGAAATGCAGCGAGAGAAAAGGCACAGCACATGAAGTACTCCTTCAGAAAACAAAACAATTCCCTTGAAGAATGATACTCCAGATAGGCCTTCTCTTAACTTCCCTGTTAGCTGCAAAAAACCTCGCACCAGCTGCCAGAGCATTCTTCACATAGAGAAATGCTGCTGGATTTTCACAGTAAACCCTCAGCCTAAGAGAGCCAGACGTTCAAAAGTTCACTTACTTCAGTTGCTCTGTGTACCATCACAAACCTTATGACCAGCGTGCATGCCGTCCTAGGTTACACTCTGAATCTGCCATTTAGCAAGTGTAGGTTACCGAGTAGTGCAGGCAGGGTTACTCATTAAACTGGCACTGGAATAATGAAGACGTAGTTTAAAGTGCATGGCAAATTTACCTTTGTAACAATCCTTTAATACATTAAACTTTCAGCATGTATTCTACAAGAAGTCTTAGACATCTTTGATGCAACCAGTGAGTCGCAATATGTAGGCAACAAATTTAACTTGATCGCAACAACTCATTATTAATTGCTGTAGAAGCTAGTCCATCACATTTACCAAACAAATGTAAATGACTCACTGCCAGGTGCTCCTCATCAGTAAAATCATTAGTTCCATCCTACTAAACTTTGAAGCTAAAGGGATACTTTTTATGATGCAGGATAAATTGTTAAAACCGCCACAAATTCAACAAAAGAAGAGAATTATGCTTCTGTATAAAGAACACACTGAGTAAAAAGAGTAATTACAGTAAATGCAGAAAGTCTTTTGCACATGGGCATGTGCTCTGCTGAACATCCCAATGCAGAAAATTGGAATGTCAAACACAAAAATAAAATTCAGAAAAAGTTTGAAATAGTAGACGTGTTGAGCTATTTCAATACAATATATTACTGAGTTGTTTCTGTAAAAGTAGGGCACTACAGCACTATCATAGCAGCCTGGGAGTCTAGAGTAATGGATTGAATGTTTTTGCTGGTAGTGCTTAACTTGAGTGAAATATAGACAAAAATATAGACGATAATCTCACCCCTTGAGATTAAGCACTTCTTAAAGAATGCAAAACACCTTTCCGATGTCCTTAACATGCCTTGTGTTCCTAAACTTTGTTATGTTCTTATCACACAAATGGTTACAGCAGTGTAGATCGGACTGCCCAGTTTGTGTGCTTCCATTAGCCACGCTGTGGAAGCTCATACCCTGGCTTTTTACAGAAGGGTCTGGATGAGATCCTTGGATTACTCTGATACTAAGAACCAAACAAGACAGACAGCCCAAAGAGCCTCCACTTGTTTGTGGTCTTCATTATATCGTTATGTTCTTAAAATGCATCATTTATGCAGGGACAGACGAAAAAGAAGCTGGGGTACTTTGTGATTCGTTTTTACAACAAATTAATTTTTAATACAATTTTTTTTTACTTCTGTTCATCTCTGCTGCCCTTCATCACGGAAGAAACTTAAAATAAAATTGGTAAAGAACAGGGATCATCTTTGTGTTTCTCAGGTGTGAGAAGCAGAAATCTTTGTTTCAGTTCAGCCTTTTTTTTGTGTGTTATCATTTAGGCCTTAAAGATATGGATCGTGTTCAAACCACATATATTCCTCAGCTCTACAAAGTTTGGCCAACGTTGTCCGTATGGTATTGTACTTTAAATCCGCCATTTACTGGAATCAGTTAAAAGGCAGTGTTGAGGCTGGGGTTGGGGGCACCAGTAAAATCTGGCTTGGCAGAAGCAGTCTGCCATACTCTCCTGGCACTCCATGAAAGTTTCTATTAATACCATGTGAATGAAGACAGACACTGGTTTCAGGAAACCAACCACAGCGTTGACGTTTGTAACCACACTGGATGAATCAACCAGTAACTGCTGCTGCACTTCATTGTTCAGGGCTTTGAAACAGTAACGTTTTCCTTTATTTAGCTCTGCGGTCAAAGTGGATCTGCCTCAGTCTGGCAGTTTTGCCCTCCCAGCCCTTGGCTTGTAACAATAATTTTTTTCCTCATAAAATTCAAGCCCCTCTTTTCATCCCCACCCCATCCTCCATTTAGGCTCCTTGTGAAGCACAAAAGGAAAACAGAAGGGCTTTGCCACCACATCCTCAAAGTGAGAGTGGCTGATGGCAGGAAGTCAGAGATCGCAGCCAGACGATTTCAGATCTGCACAGTAACTGCAGGTGTGCTCATTTGCATCCTTTCTCATTCAGCAAGACTGTTTGCTCTGATGAGTAGCAGCAAATGGAGGTGCTATCTTGTCAAAACTTAAATTAAATTATTTTGTTTAAGCTCTGGTTCTTCACCGATACTCCCTATAATTGATCAAATGTTTCTTGTCACTTTAATACAAATAGTCCACACACATATTAGAACAATGGCACATTGGCACATAACCTATGAGGGTTATTTATACTAGTGGGAATTAGAAACTAGCTGGTGGATTTCTGCAATTCTATCATTTTGTAAGAGGGAAATAAATGGTAAACAAGCTGAAACTGGAGAAGCCACTTCAGTCAGGTCACAACTGTCAGGTGTCCTGTGAAGTCTCAGAAGAAGGCAGACATTTTATTTGACTAGATGTTAGATTTACGTAACTTGTGTAGTTTGGCTCAAAACCAGATGTAGCCTGTGTCAACTATATAATACTAAATTGTTTCTAATAATAGTGCTTTGATTTCTAGGCCAGGCCATCACAAGTGCTTCTATTGAATTAAGAGAGAGTAAATTAACTGTGCATAAACAAGAGAGCTGCAGCTAAATAAGCCACTTTTTGAGACAAAAATGCAACTTGACATAAAAAAGTATGTTGACTCACAGAGAATCCAGACGTTGTTTCCTTTTCATTAAGGTGGAAAATTAAACTATTCCTGAAAATTCCCCCTGGAAACCACTTTGCCGAACTGAAAGACACGTTCTGGAGATCTCCAACATGTAACCTAAGGTCTAGGTTTGAACCTCCTTGTTTGGGATGAGGGCACGGAGCACATTTGCTTTGACTGATCTAAGACTCAGAAAAAACTGTGCTTCTGCTTGACCACTGATGAAGGATACACTCAGCCATGCAGTTGCTTTAAAAACCAGCTGCAGCACATGGACTGCTTTGACAGACTTTAAAACTATATTAAGACTTATGAATAATTTCAGGACTATATAATAAATTATAGTATTTGCACCATAGCTCTTTGTCTCTAAGGCCTTTTTGGGGTGATTCAACTTGTCAGTATTTAGGAAAAGTTCTAAAATGTTCAGGTCCATTACAAATGTGGGTCCTTACATACTGTTTTGAGTTCATTTCAAGGACTGGGTCCTGCCTTCGGACTCGTTTCTTCTGCTTCTGCTTTCAGTTTTTAAGCAGCATGCATCTGAAAGAGGCCACTCGATCATGGGAAGTCTAGAAAGACACCAGATTGAGTGGCCTGTTTTTGACAGGCTTCTTTGTGACTAAAACAATACAGAAAGAAGAACAATCGGATGAATAGGTTATGGGTGTTGTCCATTCTGCAAAATCTAGCATTCTCTCGCAACACAATGTCACACAGTATTACAGAAATGGTAGAGAACCAATTAAATGAAAAGCAGAACAACAAAGAAACATGCACCTACAGTAAGAATTGGATTTTCATTTGGTGTTTATTTATTGTGCAACGCAGCAGCGTTTCCCTAGTGAGATTATTGTCACCTGTGAGTGATAGCCCGACACCAGTTTTGCCTTTTAACTTCACTTGTGCGCATATTATTTAAAACACTACCCGAATGAGGTTTTGCATTTACATTTGTCATATCAATTTAATTGTGTCCTATTCAGGTTGCTTTTTTATGCATGTGCAACTTTAACTGTATGCATTTGTTTTCAAGCGTCCCACAGCCTGTGTGGATGGGTCCACTCCTGTGTAGATGGGTCCACGTTCTTTTCTCAGCTCCAGTTGGTGGACTCACACTCACACATATACACCCTTGAGAAGCAGATGATCTCTGTGATTAATCAATAGGCTGATTTCTGATGCATTAACCCCTTCTTGGCTGCTTGGTGATACTGACTGTCCAGCTTCCCTGCGGGAGGGAGAGAAAGAGAGAAAAAAAAATCCATCAAAACAGAACCTCTGTGACCTCTATGCTGCTCAAGGTCTGGTGATTACAGAGGCTGCACAGCAAGATGCAGCTAGAGCTGCTGCACTGACAGGTCCTGCTGATGAAGAAGTGCTGATGAAGAGAAAAAGAGCCTGCAAGGCTGTTTATTTTGCAGCTGCAAAAGACAGGGACTTACCACTTAATAACCTGATGCAGGTGTAACATCGAGCTACTGCTCTAGGCTGCTTTCACAAATCATGTAGTGTGTGGAGTCAAGAAATAACAGGATAGAGGTATTCAGTCCCTGTTATGCTGCCTGAGACACAGAAAATACACCATTTCTTTCCTTATTTAGCTGCTTTTTCCTATGTGCTTCATAAAGTGGTGTCACTGGAGAGAATAAAAAAATGTGTGTGCCATTGGGACCTCCTCTCTACCCTAGCGGAGATGTGAAATATACAATTTATTAAAAACTTTTCTGGATTTGATTCAGCTGGATGAAATAAATTCCAAACAGTTCCAAACATCCGGTGTTTTGAAGCACAAAAAGATGTCTGATTGCCTTCCCCTGTGTGTTTTGTGGATAGGTTTATTCTTCTGCAACCACATCACATTCTCATTTCCTTCCAGCTGACGAAGTTGTACATTACCGCAGACGACGAATCTGTTCTACGAAGCCATTAAATAATGAAATCAATGTCCTCAAACACTTTATAAAGCGGTCGATTGGAGGTGAAGCACAGAGGTCTGCCTGAGGATGGACGCGGTTTCCGAGGCAACAAAGACCCAGCTCTTAAAGAAACCTGTCAGAAACACTTGGTCCGGTAACAAAAGCAATTGAAATAATACTTCTGAATGCCAGGGAAGTGATTACTACAAAACAACCAAGCCAGCAGACAACAATGGATCTCTTCCACTTATTGGTATTTTTTTAAAAGCCTACAATTTTGTTGAGACTCATATTAACCATGGCTATGTTTAGCAACTTCCAAGCTGTCCTAATGGCTAACGGCAACTTATTTGCTTCGGGGAAAAAAGAGAAACAGACATGAAAATGCGTCTCCTCACAACGAGAAATCCAGAGAAGAAACAAAGGGATTTTTATCGACTAATCTCTTTAGTTTAAAAAAAAGACAAGTGTATTTCCTCAAAAGATTTCCCATCCAAACATGTATCCTCCTCTACTGTATATAGTTAACTTTCAGCTACAGGCACCACAGCAATGGCTGAAACAGGGCCACTCACTTATCACTGCTTGAGAATTACAAAGGCTGCTTGTGCTAATGTTCACAACATCCCTTCTCCATTCCCTGTGGGAAGAAAAAGTAATCAGCATGGCGCAAATCAAATGTGACCAAAAACAGCTTGTTCGTAATCAGGAACCCAACAGAATTAGCTGAAGGGGCATGAAAAAAAGTTTCAGAAAGGCACAGATCATAAAGCAGTGGCCAAAATTCTCAGTTCGATTCAGTTCACCTACGCTTGCTCTCCACATTTAGTCTCCAAGGATCGGCTTTTCACCTCACAATTTTTGTTATTGCCATCCAGCTGTAACATTAGTTTCATGTGATTCCATAAAGAGAGCTACAAAGAATCAGAGCAGTGTGAAATAAGCCTGGGGCTGCATTTCTCAATCACTTCAATTATAGAAACCAGTTCAGTGCTCCCCAACGAAACGTAATTTACTGCATGTAGAAACCTGTAAATACAAACACATTTTGCAATTTTTAATCCGTTTGTCCCAGAGCCAAACTGTGTACTAATCCAAAATAGTACTATTCCGACCCGCAACACGATAACTGAATGGTTTAGACATGTTATGGAACCTGCTAATTAATTCAGGGAGCTCATGACAGTTAATTCAGTAACCTACTGCTGGAGGTTAACGTTCATCTTCGAATACAACCTAAAGGCCACTGGATGAAAGTGGACAAAATTAAAATCAATATATAACAGACTGATTAGGCAAGAGAGATTTTCTGATGGGAAGAAGCCTTTAAGGGTAGCAATTTTGTTTTTGTGTAAAATCATTCTGCATTAAAAATGCTTCTTTAAAGAAAAGGAAATATTTTAATCCCTTTGAGGGCTTTTTTGGAACAGTGACAGTTATAATGATATGTGGGATATTATCAAAAGTATTTTTTTTTATGGCATGTAACAGGATACACCCAAAATAACCAGTTTGGGATTACCGACTAACACATCAAAGCACTCACTCTGGGGTAAAGAATTAAGTGGGAAAAGAAAACATTTTTTTTAATAAAGGTACACGGCCCGAGCCTTGGTTGAGCCGAGTTCATGGAAAGGACCACAGGATCTAATGTTGACAAGCAGTTCTTCGGGACAATGACAGGCTGAAGCCCGACTGCCCAAAGTCATGACCCCTCCTTCCGCAGTGTGAGGAACACCGCTCAACCCCCTTGCTTCTCACAGCTCACACTTCAATTCACCACCTAAGGTGCCGACTCGGGATCGAGCTGTCGGCCACAGAGGACCAGTCTGAAAACCAAAGCCGGCTTAGCGATCAGAGGCGCTGGGTCAGACGTCTTCAGGCCACAGGCAGGCCAGCTCTCTCTTTTCACAGCTATCACAATGCTGGGCAGGGGGAGACGCAGCCAGCCTGTTGTTTGCCTTCCTGCACTGGGGGACTGAACCATCTACAAGGGGGATGTGTGAACTCAAATCTCCGTTAGCATTTTCACCAGCAGCTTTGGCAGCAGTGTTCTACTTCCCCTGGCCAAAAGCTTTGAAAAGAAGGCGGCAAATCAGCTATCACTCAGATACAACACTCTGGTGTGTTTTGTCACCCAGTGGTGATTCAATCTAAGTGGCTCGCAACCGATACATTTGATCATCCTACCACATGGGATACGATCAAGATTAAAAAAGCATGAAAAGTAACCCACTTTAATTAAACACACATTTGCCCACAATAACAGCATCACCCAGCACTCTCTTCTCATTGGTTCCTAGCTCCAACACAAGTGTAATTTCTTGCTGCCCCATCAGAGAAGAAATCTCAGTTTCTTATTAAAAAAAATATATTCTCAAATGAAATCTTGATTATGTTAAAATAAATTCAAACATTTCTGTAATTATCAGACCAGGCTAGAAAGCTGCATATCTTAACGATGAACATGTATTGGCTTACAAATAGCTGAACTAAATTACAAATCACATTGCACTTTGAGTGGTTTGCCCAGTTTGGAAGCAGAGATCCTCAAATTAAGAGCTCTGATCTTCAGAAGACAAAAGTGTGTGTGCATATACAGTAGGTACACATTTAGTATAGTTATACAATTACAGTGACAGATTAGGTTTAGTTGATGTGTAATGCACAGTATACAAACACAGGCTATGCTTTACAAATTTACTTTATGCTGAAAGGAGGGGGGAGAGTAAAAAATGTAATCTCTTTGTAATGGGGATTGTTTCTGCTGTAGAAAAAAAAAAACAGTTTGAAAACCATCTGGCTAAGATCTTTTTGAGGGTTGGGGGGTGAGGGGGGGAGGTGTATGTCGCTTAGCAAACACATGAATTAGGCTCAGCTCCTGAAGTGCTGACTCAGAGGAATTCAGCTCGGCTGGAGTGGAGTGGAGTGGCAACTTTTTCAGAGCTCTAACATCGATCTTTCAGGATCATTTTCCATTGATTTTTGGTTTGTTTAGGGCTGCAGCCCAGCGCAGTTTATTACACACATCAACAGTAGAATGTCAACCTAGCAGCATTCATGGGCTTTAATAGACTGGCTGGCAGGCTGCTGTCACCACCCCTTCCTCCCTTCCATCCAACACCTACTCTCCTTTAAATGATCTCTTCACAATTCAAAATCCAGGCAGAGTGAAGGCTGCTTAATACCCCCTGAAGCGAAGGAGGCTGATATTGGCCGACTACTCCCGTTTTCAATTAGTTTTGAAATAAGTAACCTCCAAATCTGTTGACGGAGCAGAGCTAGCGATGTGATAAGTGTTTTGAAGAGGGGACAGTGAACAATTTAAAATAAAATGAAACCATTCCAGGTGGCACTGTTTTAGCAGGGTACAACAACCTGAGAACGGCTCCTTACATAAATTCAGAAATCTGTGTACATTTTCCTTTCACTCTGTTTTAAAAGGGTTTTTCTGCTGACTCTGAAAATCAATGGTGCTGAAGCAGTGGACAGAGCAGGGGCTCATTTGTTGTCGGAGGATAATGTGTGCTAGGAAAGGCCATAGGGAGAGACACTAGTAAAACTTCAGGTAATGTCTGACTCACTAGTAAGTAAATTACATCAGATTGACTGGATAGCCAGCTGTGGTTTGGAAGGTAATGTAAAAGACACACAGCCTTCACTGAAACACAGTCATGCACACACGGACAGAGATATACACATGCACACAAAGACAGAATGCTTATCATTTCCGCATGGCCGAGTTCAAACCATATCTTCAGACAACAATAACGCAGTGTAATCGGTTAACATGCACTCTCACATTGCATGCACTGAAGCAATCATGACATGAAAGACACTGCATGGCTCAGGAACTGAGACTAATATGCAGAACAAGAAGACACAAAAGCAGCTTTACTCCTAACCCAATCATTGAAGTTTAGTTACTGACAAGGTGGAAAAACATATCCAGCCTGGTGTGCTGAATGCAATTAAACTTTATAAGACTCTAAATATAAAATATAAGAATGAAAAGATAATCTTAATGTATTTGCAAATATGTAGAACTCAAGGTTGCTGTGAGCAGCATGGCATAGGACCACAGCTCACATGCATCAGAAAAAATGATGAGAAAAGGCCATTTAGCTCATTTTGCTTTTCTAATTATCAGTGGTTTAATAGTCCAAGAAATCCATCAAGACTCTTCTAAAGCATTTCAACATTAAGTATTTGGTTCACACATTCCACAATCTCTATGTAAAGAAAGCACCTCCTGTTCTCAGTTTAGTTGCACTTAATCTCCACTGAAATCCCTCTGGCCCTGGTGTCAGGA